GGGGGTGGGGGCGAGGGTGAGAGGGTGAGCAGCCATTTTTGAGGGTCTGTTCGGAACATTGACAAGCAATCATGCTACAGTCAAGCATGGCTATTGTTGGTATTGTAGCTGCAGCCAGAAATTAAGGTGTGCTGTAACATATTTCTTTGATCAGTGCTTTTCCTTGATCTCCAACAATGTTTTGAGCTTGCAATTTTGCATAGTATGGCATAGTGGGGGTGGGAACGTCAGAGTTTGGATGGCGAGGAGATCTGGCAGAAAGAAAATGGATCAGGATTCTCTAAGCTGCAGTATCTGATCGTTGGGGTTTGGATGTGGTAGATAGCCATGTATAGTAAATTCCCATGAATATGGTTCGTTTTTCATTTTATTCCTGAAGCAAGATGATGTTCAAATTTTTTTGAATCCAGATCTTTGATGTCTCTAGGTATTCCAAGGGCGTATACACCTTGTCCTATGCGGTGTCACGGGACACCGATTCGTTGTTATTTTTTACTAGTTATGTATAAGAGAAATAAAAATATTGAAGATGACTCCGGTTACAACTACAATAAGTTATTTGTTTGTTCATTTCTTCAAATTTTGACACGCTTATGAAAAATCCTGTGTATGCCACTGAGGTATTCTACCTATCATCTGTTACTCTCTAGTTAATTTACTTTGAACTATCGTGGTGAACCAGGTATATATGGTATATTTAATGTGTCCATACTTAGAGGTGGTGACATCTATGGATCTAAGTTTGAAACCTGTAGCTATTTCCTTTGAACTGAATGCACTGGGCCAACTGAGGATGCGTATAAAGCTGAATTGAGGTAGTGCTAATAGATGGATGAGTATTGTATGTGCACATAGTGATCTGTAAAGTCATACAAGAGAATCTTCTTGAAAATGTTCAATTGTAGTCGCTCACTATAAGCTCTTAGGGATCCTGAGGCAGTTGAAATACTAACTTGAGGTCATACTAAGACCATCCACCTGATTGCTGGCATGAAGAGATCGATTTACGGATTGGTGATGCCAAAACGAGTGATGTTCCTTGTTAACAGAGAAGGGAGGGTTTTTAGTTACTTTACTTTTTATTTTTAACTTTTTTCTTGATTGATAAGAAATTTCAAGAAAAACTTCTCTGCATTACAAGCAAACTCTCTCTGCAGATGCTGGGTTTAACCAATGCTGATTGTTTCCCGCGTAAAGATTGACATAATGATATTTGGTAACTTCTATAGTTTTCTTTGCTAGAGTCGCGAACGCAGACTTACACTGGAAACATGGTGGCCTTGGTGTCTCATGTGTCTTGACTCTTCGAGCTTACCGATGTCCAGTAGATCTGTCATGCTGTCGTGTCTAACAATTTTGAACTTTGATGTAACCTGCTCGTTGTGGAAAATTATTTCAGCTTGAAAGCTTACTGCTGTTTTATCACGTTTAACATATATCTTTTAAAGCTCTTGTATTTGTTGATATCTTACACGATAAGTATTTAAGATATCTAATGAGAAAGAAACGAACAGTCTTTGGTTTTTTCTATTTCCTTCAGGGTCAGTATTATGGGTTGACATTAGAACCACCACCTATGTTGCTCGGACTGTGTATATTTGGAGAATCCGATATGGGTGCGTCAGTATTTTGGAGAGTCCATGCAGCATAGACCAGACAAGGTCCATGTTTTAGCAATTGTATTCCATCTCTTCATTTTTTTGTTGTTTTGTTCCTGTGTTTCCCCTAGAATTTGTGAGGGAAATGGATGTTCCTATAGTATGAATTCAATAGGTATAACTTTGAGGTTTGCTTCTCAATGTGGGAGGAGAACTGGTACTTCAGTTCCCAAATTCTTCATCCTAGGTATTCTCTCAATTACCAGAAATACAACTGTACCATCTTAATAGATACAAATGCTAGTTAGCTCTTTCGAAGTTACAGCATCTTCCATTTTTTTCATTTATCCTTTCGTCTTCCCCCGGCATTAAAAGGGAAGTGGAAAAAAATAAGGAAAAAGAAAACAGGACGGTTGAGCTGAATGCGTAGATTTGAAATGCTGTTTTGTACCATGTAGCTGAATTTCATTAGTGAAATTTTGTTCCAAGTCTGAAGGGCTTCCGGATTTGATTTTTGGTACTGATCTTACTTTCCAAAGTTTTGCATTTCTCAGCTGGATTGTGCTTTTATCTTTCAGGTGCCTATTGTTCCAAGCCATGTACATTCCATTAACTACACGGTCTCAGCAGAGAAAGCTGCCGAAGACTATGAGTTTGTTATTAGACAGCTCGTGAGGACTCGTGTAATCAGCGTTTCTGACATCAGCGACTGCCCCAAGTTTGACCTCATCCTTCTAGGAATGGGACCGGATGGACATGTCGCGTCTCTTTTCCCTAATCACTCCATACTTGATGAGAAAGAAGAGTGGGTAACTTTTCTCACCGACTCACCCAAGCCCCCTCCAGAGAGGATTACTTTCACTTTACCGGTTATCAACTCTGCATCCAATGTAGCTATAGTTGTAACTGGAAGCAGTAAAGCAGAGGCTGTGCATTCAGCGATTGATGGTGTTGGACCTGACTGCCCGACGTTGCCTGCAAAAATGGTCCAGCCAAGTAAAGGGAATTTGGTTTGGTTTCTAGACAAGGCAGCCGCCTCAAAACTTGACGGCGCAAAATTTTCAGAGTAGTAGGGCCAGGCTTTTAAATGTGTATGATTGTGTATTTAGAAAAGGCATATGCAACTTAGTTCATTCTCATCTTTCATCAAGTCTTATATTTTGATCTTCCCTTTTTTCCCAAAATTTTTGATAGCTTTTCCTGTTTGAGAAGAAATATAGGAACTTTTTCTTCTGTTGGATTAGGTATCTTCCACCTGCAGTCCTCTCTTCTGAGGTGGGTTTTGAGAAGTGTGGTTATCTTTTTGTTGGGGAAGATGGCAATAAAATTGGATCCTTATATAGAAAATCTAAATGTCCTTTTTAAACTTAGCTAGTTTGTTTTTAGCTCTTTCACATCAGTTACCTAGAAATAAAATTTTGATACATAAAGTTAGTGGCATTAAATTCATCATTAACAATTTTAATTAGTGGAGGTCCAATGTAAGTTAATATGACAACCTAGTGATATCTTCTCATCCGCCTAATCTTGGCAGACAGAATTATCTTATACTTGTGTAACTGGTAAAGTTGCTAATATGTGACCAGGAGGTCACGGCTTCGAGCTGTATAAACAGTCTCTTGTAGAAATGTAGGGTAAGACTGCATACAACAAACTCTTATGGTCCAGCCTTCCCTCGGATTCCACGCATACCGGGAACTTAGAGCACCAGGCTGACCCTTTTTGTGTGTGTGTGTGTTTCGATGAGAATCCTTTTTCTTCAGAGAAACTGAGTTTTAAGAGAACAAAATGGTTCATACTCTAACAAGTTCATTCAGAAATAACAAAAAGGAGATGAAATGATATTGGTCTATGATACACAGCAATGCAAAGCCTATTCTGCTAGTAAATAATCTAAATTTCTCCAATATGTCAAAAAAAATAGTGCAAATGTTACATTAAAGGCAGAGCAATCAAGAAAGCCTTGGAAAATGGACTTGGTGATGTTGTCTTTCCCTCTTGTATGATTTCTCTGATACCATGTTGTATCAAAACTCTAAAAATTCGTGTACAAGCAGTTACAAGCGTCGGATAATGGAAACAGGGCATCTGACATAAGCATAATCGGCTACAAGCGTATACACCATCAACTTACAGGCACGAGTGTTCTGTATTCCCTCTCTGTTACTGACTTTATGCCATGGTCGTCTGGGACCACATCGTCTTCCATACCTTCTTTGGGAGGATACCCTAATCTCCTCGCCTGCAACCATTGATCTACTACCCCACAGCTAATAGCATACTTTAAAGTTCGTTCCAAGTACCCTTTATCGGTCATAAGATGAGGCTGAACTGTCAGCATTCTGATGATACCTGAACCAAAAGTTGCCACAGAAATTAAGTTGTGGAGCACCAAAAACACGAAAATTGGATATTTCAGTTGCAAATATTTTATAATGGAACATTTCTTTTTAAAACAGGTAATGATACTTTTTTTAGGTAACAGTAGAGTACTAACAATGAGAATTTGATCGAACAGCTAAAGATATTTGTTGGCCTGCAAAACTTGGACGGATAACATCACTGTCCAGATGTGACATGACTCCACTCAATATTTATTGTTCCCTTACTGCTATCTCTTGACCCAAAGTTAAGTAAATATCTCCAATTTGGATAGATATTGCAGGGATAAGTGAAAAGGCATAAATGCATCACATAGCAGACTATCGTCTCTAATGAGCAAACTTCTAAAGGAACGACTTATGAATATACAGAAGGTGTCATTCTTTTACCTGCAATAATGCCATCTCCAGATGCAGACATATCAGAAGTATAAGGGGTCAGCGGCACATCTTCCAGCCCAAGAACAGCACCATGATGCTCCTTGGTGTAGTAATGAATCTTAGAAGTCCCGTTAGTCACGAACAAAACCTTTAGATTTTCATGCCAAAGTGGAGCAATTACTTCTGGTGGATAGTGAGTGAACTTAGACCTGTCATTATCCTTGGTGTCAAACCTCTCGGACGGTTTTATGCCACAGAGAAACTCTAACTCCTGTTTCGTAACTTCTATAATATCTGCAAGATCCCACGCTTGCTGTATGAATGTCTTCGCTTTATCACCCGATTCCCATAGCGGAAACGGGAGGTTGACATCATAAAAGACAACCCCTCCCAGCTTCTTCGAAATCTTTGTTGCTCGTAATGTGGTTAATCTCATATGTGGGTCAAGCAATGAGAATGTATTGAAATAAAACATTTTTGCCTGTGTAACACATTAGAATGAATGAAAACAACTTCAGCATTAACAGAACATACAAAATGAGTTCGAATAAATAAAGTAACATGTAATTTTTTTCAGATTCTTACCTCCTTAAGGACATCTATATTGATCTCAGACTTCAATAGAGAATCCTCAGCCGATGGTTTGGTGGTAGTCATCCTCAAGCCCCCTCTCTTACCTATTTTCATATGTGTAATGGCAGTTGCTTTTTTACTGTCAAGGCGAACTGACCGCGTTTGAACTTTGTTGATATTCATAAAATATACCAAGGACTGACCGAAATCATCATCGCCAAGTTTCCCCATGAAGGCAACTTTACCGCCCAAGCTCGCAAGAGCCACGGCAACATTACTCGAACATCCCTCGGGAGCCCTGGTAAATTTTTCGGGATCCCAAATTGCATCTTTCATTCTTTCATGCCATTCATGGTCTACAAGCCGATTGGATGGCCTCCCTGAAGGAACAAACGCATGCTGTGCGGCACCAAAGCAACACACCAGAGGTGGCCATCCGTATGAGAAGCTAATATCCTCTCCATCATCGAAGTCCAGTTCTTCCTCACTATCAGCATCAACGTTTGCAACGTGTAGCTCTTCTTCGATATCACTAATTTCTGTCTGGCTACCTTCATCCTCTAAATCGTTAACCTTCTTTCTCCTCCGCCTTGTGACCTTCTGAGTTGGTTCTTTCTCGAGGCTACTAGAGCTAGAAGCAGCTGCAAAATTATGCATAACGAGATTTGCAATTAAACTTCTAAACTTACCAATTTAAACTTCTAAACTTACCAAATGATGAGGAAGTTTGTAAGTTTTTGATATAGAGATTTTACCTTTCTTTGAAGTTCGTTTTCGTACTTCCACAGAACCTTCACTTGATCTTGAAGTTGGTAAGACTTCCTCATCTGTGACATTGCCCTCCACATCTGACGTAGAATCCTCAAATGTGCTCTCCACTGTCTCTTTTTTCTTCCGAGTTCGTCGGGTTTTCTTCGGTTTCGCACTTGATTCTGGTTCTGTTACAGCTTCCGCATCAGTGACATTACCCTCCGTATCAGATATGGAATCACCAAATGAACTCTCCACTATCTCTTTTTTCTTTCGGGTTCGTCTCTGCGTTTTTTTGGGTTCCTCAATTGACTCTGAAGTATTTTCGGCTTCCTCAACATTCATTGGATCATCATTTGAAGTCTCGACTACTTTCTTTCTCCTAGCCATAACCGGAGCTCGTTTTGATATCCGGGCGGTCTTTTTTCCAACAACAAACACCTCTGTCTTCGATAACTCCTTGGCTATAGCCTCTGGAGTTCCTTCTTTAGAGACTGCCATAAGAACCCATTTGTTTTTAAGTCCAAGATCTTGAAGGTGCATTACTTTCATATTTGGGTAAAAGTTCCAATGCAGATGCTGCCTGCATGTTAGAGAAACATAGAATCTTACTTTCTTTTTCCTGTTTGAAGCATATTTTAGTTTCAGCAGCAATTATCCTTCAAATTTTCCTCCATGTTTTAGATCAGCAAATCCAAGATGCATAAAGAAAAAGCAAAGAAATTGAATCTCTAATTGATGCTCATATTAGAATCAAGAAAAACACCCTCTCTGCACTTTGATTCGTTTTTTCAATTAAAAGTCCGCAATTGTAAAGACACTGAATTTGTTTTGGTTTTTGGTGAGTGAATGATTTCATTCCGAATGAACACCAACTATGCACTATTAAAAAGCACAAAGTGCACATGTTGCTGGTTGGAGGTAGTAACAAGCCTTGGTAGACAGAACTACCTGGTACACATTGCTGGTGGGAGGTAGCAGGTATCTCGTAGAATTATTATTCTAGGTGCACGCAAGCTAGCCCGACACCATGGTTATCAAAGAAAAAAAAAGCACGACGTGCACTCGGCTAGTTACCTACAAGTCACCAAAAGAGCATCTCTACGACTGAAGCCACCCTATGTGCACTAATCAAAATCCTATAGAATAACTACTACTACGCCTCAATCCCAAACAAGTTGGAGTCGGCTATATGAATCCTCACTAACCATGTTTTCAGCGGAGCTAGTCTTGAAGATATGGGGTCAGCCGACCCCAATAACTTTTGTCCAAATCTGATTTTGTCTTCAGAAATTTATTTAATATTTATAAATTATATAATTTAGAACCTAGCAGCTTAAAAAGGGCTAGAATACCGAATCCATAAGCTTCAAATTTTGGTTCCGCCTCTACATGTTTTTGATTATATGATGGATCCTCACAATACAGAATCATATAGAAAATGGAAGAAATTCAACTTGCTCTCAAACTAATAGCATACTACAGCAGGGACACAGAAATTCAGCTTTAATTCTAATTTTCACCACAACATAACGTTATCCACATAGAAGACAGTTGCAAAGGTGACAACTTTATAAGTTACATGATAATTGTATGCTTCTGGTATCATTTTCTTCACAGGGTAAAGCAGATGACACAATACAGAAAAATAAAAAAAGGAACATAAATGAGAAAAAGACTAAAGAATTAGGGAAAAAACCTGGGGAGAGTAGAAAACAAGTTGAAGGAGAGAGCAGCCATAGCAAGAAGAACATAAAGTTACAATCTTTACAACCCAACAATGGGGTTTTAGACCTTCAAGTTCAAGGTAGCTGTGAAGCAGTAAAGAGAACTGGATGAGGAGGGGTTTTTGGGATTTGGGTTTTTGAGGGAATTACAGAATTGTTTTTTCTTTTCTTTTAATATTATAATTATTTACTTATTTTCTGAAAAAATTATTCATAGTGATTAGTATATTGAATATTGAATTGCTTCGATTTATTTGTCTGTTTATTTTTTCATATTTGATTCTCCCTAATGAAAAATCTAGTTTTGTCAAAAGAGCAATTTGATGCATAAAACATCTCGTATTCATGCATGTTACATTAAGGGTCGCAACCCAAGGGATATAATATAAACAGTCTACGATAATGCAATCATAATGGTTTTGTCACTTATTTTAAATTATTTTATTAAAAAAAAAAATTTTAAAATATAAAAAGTTGACATGGTCAATTAATTTTTTGGCTCTTAACAAACTTACTCTTAGATTTATGACCCTATCTTTTTTTTTCATACATGAAAGATTTATTTTTATACGTAAAAATTTTGCCTTTTATATATCTAAATATCATTTTCCGCATAAATTGAAACAAAAGAGTACTACGTTAAAATCTCGTCTTTAAACCCATGTTCTAAAGACAAACTTTCTCATGACTAAAATGACCCTAGTGTACTCCACAATTTACCAAATTGCCACTAGGTATGTTTTCTGCGCTGCCTTTGTACTATATTCTGGCAAAGCAGGGAATCTAATCTAATTTCCAAGATCCAATTCCACTGTATATTTCATGTTCATTCATAGGATGATAGTCCTGGAGATTTCTTGCAATTCTATGAATCTTGAAATATTATTGAGACATCAACATCACTATCTTCAGTGAGTTTTTGTATCGTTATTGAGATGAATATCTTCAGACGCTTACTCCCCACAAAGTTTGGGTTCAAAATATCCAAGAATTCGTGTAATGGTAAGCTCTTTTTACCCCTCTTTATGTGGTTTCCCTATCTTTTTGTGCTCTATTAATCATAAAGTTACAATCTTTGTAAGGTTCTGATGTAATTGGTATGTGTTGTATTTACCCTTGAAGAGGGGATGTGGATTGAAATGTTTAATTAGATTAGTATTAGTGCAATTAATGACATTAATGGAACCTCTACTATAGTTTTTCCAAATAAATTATAAAGTCATATCTATCTTTTTAAATAGTAATAAGCCTTGGTGGGCAGAGTTATACGGTTACTGTGGTAGTGGAAGATAGCAAGTAACCAATAAGATAGTCGAGGTGCATGTAAGCTGGCCCGGAGATCACTGTCATAAAAAATGGTTTATTTTGAGCTTTCTTGGGCTGTTTTGATGGGTTTAAGCTTCTTTTCAGCATTTTAATGGGGGGTTTTATTGAATGATGATGGAGATAGAGGCTGTTTTTTTCTAAAATGTTCGTTTTGAATCTTTAAAGATTGAGATTAAATGGACCATAATAGCGCAGAATGGATACAAAGGATTCATATAACCGACCCTCAACTAGTTTTAGGATTAAGGCGTAGACTCATAGTGATTGATTGATTGATGTTCTTTTACAATCTTGTTTGCAGCATGGGGCATTTATAGTATCCATTCGTCCCCGGATTGTGTGGTGGAAGTACATTCCCCGGAGCAGGAAGTAATAATTGCTTTGGGAAGTAATGTGGGAAACAGACTTCAGAATTTTGATGAAGCATTGCACCTAATGAAGAAATCAGGTATACAAATTACCAGGCATGCTTGCTTATACGAGACGGCGCCTGCTTATGTAACTGATCAGCCTCGGTTTCTGAATTCTGCTGTTAGAGGTGTCACGAAACTAGGGCCTCACGAGTTGTTGGGAGTGCTCAAGAAGATCGAGAAGGACATGGGTCGTACAACTGGAATAATATATGGTCCTAGACCTATCGACTTGGATATTCTGTTTTATGGGAAATTCAAGATTCATTCTGAGATACTTGACGTTCCGCATGAAAGAATCTGGGAGAGACCATTTGTGGTGGCACCTTTGATTGATTTACTCGGTTCAGACATAGATAGCGATACAGTTGCACGGTGGCATTTATTTTCAAAACATTCAAGCGATCTTTTTGAATTGTGGGAGAAACTAGGAGGTGAATCTCTTGTAGGAAAAAATGGGATGAAAAGGGTATTGCCAGTTGGAAACAACCTATGGGACTGGTCTTCGAAAACCTCCGTTATGGGTATTCTGAATTTGACTCCGGACAGTTTTAGTGACGGTGGGAAGTATCTATCTGTAGAAGCAGCAGTTTCCCAAGTTCGTTTAATGCTCTCAGAGGGTGCAGATATAATTGATTTTGGTGCACAATCTACACGTCCAAACGCTTCAAAGATATCCGTTGAAGAAGAATTAGATAGACTAATTCCTGTTATAGAGGCCGTTAACAAGATGCCCGAGGTTGAGGGGAAGCTTTTATCTGTGGATACCTTCTATTCAGACGTTGCTTCAGAAGCAGTCAAGAATGGAGTTCATCTTGTAAACGATGTATCTGGTGGACGGTTGGATTCCAATATGCACAATGTCGTTGCAGCACTTCGAGTACCCTTTATAGCAATGCATATGAGAGGCGATCCGTCTTCCATGCAAAATCCCGAGAACTTGCAGTACAACGATGTTTGTAAGGACGTGGCATTTGAACTTCATGAGAGGCTCAAGGAAGCAGAGTTAGCCGGTATTCCTGCTTGGAGGCTAATAATTGATCCAGGAATCGGATTCTCCAAAAATACTGAACATAATTTGGATATTCTAACGGGTTTGACAACCATCCGAAGTGAGATTGCAAGGAGGAGCTTGGCGTTGTCTCGTGCACCCTTATTGATTGGACCTTCCAGAAAGAGATTCCTAGGCGAAGTCTGTGCTCGCCCTGCTGCAGATGAACGAGATCCAGCAACTGTTGCTGCTGTAACGACAGGGGTTCTGAATGGTGCCAATATTGTAAGAGTACATAATGTTCGATATAATGCAGACGCGCTTGGGCTGTGTGATGCGTTATTGGAAAGGAAACAGTATGCTTAGATATAACAGTTAACACGAGCTATGTTTTGTTTTCTCATTGTAAAACATCTATCAGTCTGAGATTTGTGTTTTTTGCCAAGAACTCAAAGCTGAAATGATATAACCAGAAAGAGCAAAGTTTTGTGAGTGAAACATTTTACTTGAAAGTTGACTAGTTCCTTGATTCATTTGCTTCCTTTCGGTTCCCAAGTTTGTAAAACGTATATGAGATTCGTTTTTTACTTTTATGTATTTTTGGTTCTCCCTTTACCAGTTTCAATCAAGCAATAAATTATGATGCTAAACAAAGAAATTTTCCTCAATCTCAACTTGCTATCTCCTCTCTATATTATCTGTTAAGATTTTTGCACACCTCTTTGGAACAATAACTGAAGTTCTCTAAAAATAAAAATAAAAAGAGGCAACCCGATGCACAAGCTCCGGTTGTGCGCAGGTCGGGGAAGGGCCAGACCACAAGCGTCCATTGTATGCAAACTTACCCTGCATTTATGCAAGAAGCTGTTTCTAAGTTCTCTAAAAAAAAAGTAATAAATGACTTGTTTTTTCTAACAACAAATATGAAAAAACAAATTCAAGTTTGAGGTGTCACGACGCTTCTCTCAGATTGACATATACTTATTTGCATCTAAAAGGCTTTCTTGATGTCATAAAATTCGAGAGCACAAGCTGATTGGGACAAAACCAAAAAGAAATTAAAATAAAAGAAACTCGCGAAAGAAAAAAGATAAAATGCCCTTGCTGGATGCACTTTATTCTGTATCCTCAGACAGGTTATATGGATAGTAAATGTCAACTCTTATCAATATGATGACAGCCACTGTGTATTAAAATGGCTATTTGACAGCACTTGCTCTGGGACAGAATATCAATTTCCCCGCATCTCATTCAGCAACAAAAATGTGCATTCAGCAATCATGTCCCAAAATTCTTGGACCTCTAAAGATATGATGAATACTTTTTTCAGTCTATGTTTCACAACAGTACTAACATCCGAGAGGGAATATCAAACTGATTTTACTTCTTGCGTGTGTACAAGAAGCCCACCACCACAGAGATGCCGACAACTGCTACAGGAATGAACCAGTATTGCTTAGTAATTTCCTTAACCTTCTGAGGAATATTTTTGGCGGCCTTCTTTACAATCTCAAGTTCTGGGATGGGAGGGGATGTCGAATCAAGCTCCCCAATGAAGAATTTCTCCATCAGTTCCCTCGCATCTTTGCTATGTCCAGCATCTTCAAATTCATCAGTGGCATCTTTTCCTACAAGAAATTGCATNCTACAGGAATGAACCAGTATTGCTTAGTAATTTCCTTAACCTTCTGAGGAATATTTTTGGCGGCCTTCTTGACAATCTCAAGTTCTGGGATGGGAGGGGATGTCGAATCAAGCTCCCCAATGAAGAATTTCTCCATCAGTTCCCTCGCATCTTTGCTATGTCCAGCATCTTCAAATTCATCAGTGGCGTCTTTTCCTACAAGAAATTGCATAACAAGTCAAATCATTCCATCTTACTTATGATCCTTGCATTGACATACTCAAAGGTAGATCCAATTACTTCACTATTTTGAGTGTACAGTAATTTCAAAGCAAAGAATACAGTGATACCTGTAGCAGCAAGTACAACATCATCTCCGCCTGGATGTTCGTCCAGATAAGATGAAACATCATATACCTGCTCATGCACCAGGGCAGGCAGAGAAATTAAGAATTTGAAGTAGCAAACGGAGAATCAGGTATACTAAGAATCTTTAATAAAACATTCTAGAAATATAAGATCAGATCAGCCCAAACGTTACGACATTTTGCTGATGAAGCAATACGACAATCAAAACATTGCAGACAAATTTTTGCAAAGACTACTGGAACCATCAGTCTCACTTAGCGTTGCTGTAAACTATTCTTTCTAGCAAACCGTGGTGCTCTAAGGCATAAAGCGTGTTAAGCCATATTACCATCTGATTTAAAGCCATCCTCCTGGCTCATGTCTAGACTAGATATCAAACCAAAACCAGTTTCATTCTCAGAGGTTCAAGACTGGCAAGTTGCATATTAAGTAGTACTGTGTGCAGGTTTATTTTTACCACGACAAGTTAAATATGGGTTTTGACTTCTAGTGAAAATTATTTTGATGACTAACACAGGAATGTAGGTGTACTAAAGAATATGAATAGCAAAGGTGCAATAGGTAAATCCTCTAAATTCCACAATAATTAGAGCTTGGATAAAAATAAAACAGCTCAACTAACCACAAGACGTAATATCAGGAAGTTGACGCTGCATGAAGTGCATCAGTTGAACTCGATTGTCATATTGTACAGGTTGCAATGTAAAAATATATGAAGAAAACAAATCTGGGGCCTTAAATTGTAGTAGTAAATGTAGTATGTCCAAATCATAGGACAGAAACAAGATAAAATTAATCAGCATAATATGGAAAATAATGAGGAAAAGCATGGATGAATAACCATGATTAAAATTCCTCTGAACACTGTCCAAGGTAAGCTTGCATAAATTTTGCACAGCATTATAGATTTAGCATGAGCACAAATTCAATGCACCACCTTATCCACAAAGAAAGAATTTTATATAGTTTTCAGGAAGAAGCGAATTGTCAAATCATAGATATAACTCCGTGCGAACATTTACAGCCCGCCCCAACCCTCCCACCTTCCCAAATACCACGAAGGAGAAAGGTAGCGGATGAATTTTTATTGGTCCTGAACCACAGCCACTTACAGCTGCAAATTATTAATCTAAGGATAAACTTATAAGGCCCTGCGGCATTACTCACAAGGTTAAGGAGCATTTGAATCAGGACGTGTGATGGTTATCAATCTTCTTGGTCTTATCTACAATTTGTATGTGTTTCACATTTTTGAGTTGCCTCATCCTGGTGGCATATTTTGAAGCTGAGGAATCTTCATTACTTCGTTAATCACAACCAATCCTCATTACTTTGTTAATCACCGTGATAACAATGCACCCAGTGATTATCTTCTAAATCCAGCAAAATTAGCTTTTTACCTTTCTTTTCCTCATTAAGAACTCGCGCCAATTCCAACAGAGAACCAGATACCTATAACTTTCTCTCAGTTCACTAGGGCCACTACCTCAAACAGCTTGACACTCTACTACGGTCATTATACTTTTTTTTTTTAAAACCATCGTGCCAGGGCAGCTTATTCGGACCTCGACTAATTACACGGGGTACTTGCTACCTCCCATTATAGTCATATACTTTGTACAAACGTAGCAAGATTGCTACGTTAATATATCCTCCATTTGCTTAATGCACCCGTATTAAAGGTTGCGATATGCACGTGGCCACTTTTCATATGAATCCTTCAACACAAAAAATTAGCGAGAAAATGGGCACAGCCATATGGATACGTCCACTATATTTCTTTCTCTTAATTCCATTATTACATAGTCAATAAAGGGAATTTAAGACTATTCCAATCATATACACACTACATATTCAATGGTTAAGGGTCGGTCTAACCCGACACAAGATACATATCATCACATTCATAAGCCTAAGAAAATTTCCACATGGCAATTGAGTCAGATAATTATTATGAACATAAAACTGAAAGCTAGCATCAATGGAATTAAAAAAAGAACCATTAATCCTAGTAATCAATGTGTGTGAAGAAAAACTAAAAAAAGTTGTAAATAGACAAATACCCCCATTGGGTCCGTCTAAAAACTGCATAATCACAACGCAGAGGCGGACCTAAGTTGCAAGTTATAGATTCATGCGAAACCAATAGCTTTTGCCCAGACCCTATATATGTATTAAGAAATCTACTAAATATCTAAATGTGAACTCAGTTATTATTGTATATATTAGCTTGAGCTCGATGTTGAAACTCATAAACTATAAATCCTGGATCCGCATCTACCTAGGAGAATACATAACCAATCACATTCACAACAAGAATATATTCCAAAACAAAAACAATAAAAGGGCAACACTGACAATTTTCAATATTGGTTAGTCTATCTACCAATTGAGGACCACAAGCACAGTTACTCCCCATAAAAAGAAGAAAAAAACAGATAAAACCCAGGAAAAAAATGTAAGAAAAAAGAAAAACACCTTGCCGTCAATGACAACCCAGCAATCACCCTTAGTGTTGTGCTGAGAGGCTTCTTCCATTGTGAATAGCTTCGTTAGTGTTGGCATTTTCTCTCAATTAACTTCTAATGGCTTTTTACTTGCAAATTTCTCTTCTCTCAAACAAGTTATACTAAACCCTATATGGCTGAAATACAGAATAATATGGTCTTGCGGCAGTGGTTTTCGTGTGAAAGGGGTAATGTTTTGGTGTGGGTAGCTTTCGGGTCGGGTAGAACTAATCCAAATCCCTAATTATACGATTTGATGTACTACTGTGGTTCGAATATTTGCATTCGGTGAGTTGAATTAAGTCGAATCGTGTGGACTAAGTCAACATGAGTTTATTATATTAGCATTAAATTATAGTTAATTATATAGTACGAATTTTTATCTTAATTGATGATTTAGCCATAATAATTTATTCTTTGTAATCCGCGTCTCATCCCAACTATTCAATATTATTCATTATCTCGACCCTTAAACTAATTTATTGGTGAAACTACAATTATAACTGTAAACAAGTTTCTTTTATGTTGAGGCACAAATACTCCACTCTCTTTAAGAAGGTTGAAAGCAATTAGAGTGAACTTTTTTACTAATATCATAATTATTTTGTCTTGTTCCCCGTAAAATTAATTCAATTTAGCAATATTGTTTTATTCCGTCAATCCAAAGCTTCACAAGAACATGCTTTACCATGAGTAAAACACTATGTTCTTTTAGGTGAAAGATTTATCGGTAAAATTACACCAATAAATCTCATAATGGCAATTAAAAAAAAAAAGGAAAATCTACACAAAAAATTTACCCTCTTTTTCCTCACATTCTCTTTCCCTCATTAATTATTTTCTGTCTTTTTGTGTTTTCTCTCTTATGTTTTTTCCTACATTGCATATTATTCATCTCTTCACTATATGTGTTTTTCATTGAAGGCTTATTTGTACTCTTTTTCCTGCATTCAATCCAGAACATCTTGTTAATAAACTCCATGGATAAGTTAACTCTTCAATCACATACTATGTTTGACTAACTCTGAGGATTATTATTACTAAGAGTTATGATATGATACACAATCTAATGAGAGAAAAGAATAGTGAAACAAAATAAGATTTAAAAAAAATATTGCTAACAAATGGTATACTGTAATAATATGCAATATTTCAGCTGAAATATGAATAAAAATACAGTATCCAACAGTATACCGCTATGGTATCACAATATACTGTAAGAGCATGCAACTATATTGCAACAATATACTATAACCGTATATATATATATATATATATATATACCGAAATAATATATAAGGAGGGTCGGATAATTATTTTGTACGGATAGAATCAAGGTAATTATTTTGATTTCTATGAGTAATCATGTACATATTATTTTGTTTAAAGGGTAACAAATTAAATTACACAAAGTATATAACATGTAAATTATAAGATATCAAGCTAAACATTCTAACAAGAAATATGCATTGCATTATACAATTCTTGCATTACTAATCCTCACATTACAGTCTTCTTGCAAGATAACGGATCATTGAAGCCGCTAGCAATTGAACTAAGTTTGCCACATCCAGATGGAGACCAATTTGGTGCTATTAGCAAAGTGTATACCCCAGCTGATGAAGGTGTCGAGGGCTCCATCTGGGAACTGGCTAAAGCTTATGTTGCAGTGAATGACTCAGGTGTTCATCAGCTAATTAGTTATTGGTTGAATACACATGCTGTGATTGAGCCATTTGTGATTGCAACAAATAGGCAATTAAGTGTGCTTCACCCGATTCATAAGCTTTTGCATCCTCACTTCCGTGACACAATGAACATAAATGCTATGGCAAGACAAATCCTAATCAATGCTGGTGGAGTTCTTGAGAGTAAATATGCCATGGAAATGTCAGCTGTGGTTTACAAAAACTGGATTTTCCCTGATCAAGCACTTCCCACTGATCTTGTTAAAAGAGGAATGGCAGTTGAGGACTCGAGTTCCCCCCATGGCATTCGTTTGTTGATACAGGACTAC